TGTGCGCGCGCGCGCGCGCGGCCTGGCAGGCGTGGTGCGGCCGCGCGGCGGGCGGGAGGGAGCGGCGGTAGGACCAGGGCGGGGGGACGGCGGTCGGGTCGCCGGCCTAGTCAGATCGACCGGCCTCTCAAGGTCAAAAGTCACTCGAGATTTGTGAGACCGAGAATGTTTGGGTTTTCGGAACGGATGGGCCAGGACATCAGTCCACGCGCCCCTCCTGTCTTCTGGGTCCAGACTAGGGTCAGGTGGTGGACAGTGCAGGTGATGCCGGAGAATGTCCTGTGTGCGGGACCAGCGGCACGGGAGGAGCGTGCACAAGATTTGGAGAGACTGAGTCACCGCTGCCACCATCAACACAATGCAATTCAGGAGTGCCTATTGTGTCCCCACCGGGTACTGCCCACCGTGCTGCAGGCAACTGGATTGACCTGCTGTTGCTCCAAGGGAACACTCACTTCACCTTCACTTTAGCCACGGGCTGGCTGACCATATTGGGGGAGGGGAGAAGACCCTCACTGTCATGTCCTCCACCTTTTCTGAAGTAAGTCATCCAGAGCTGACTGTAAAACCACAGGGATGACATGTGCACCCTTGCAAGGAACCTGGGAATGGCTTTCCCCTAAGAAGTTGCAGAGCCCCGCCCCTCCCCCAGCTGGTGAAAACTGGGGACAGGGAGCTGAGTTGAGGCTTCTTCTTGATGGGGCAAGGGGTCTTAGGGGATGGATGGACGCATGCATGCTGGGAAGCTAGTCTACCCCAGAAACTGAGGTACAGACAGCTAGACCTAGCAAATTCACCTTTTTCTTCTTCTGGAGGTTCTGTCCTCTAACTTGGGGTGGAAAGAACGAGAGAGAAGGGGGTGCTGGTGAGCCTGCTGACCAGGACCGCTTGCTGGGAGTATGTACCTGATGGGCAACTCTGAAAAGGGATCCTCTTGTCCTGGCCCTAATTCAACTTCAGCCTCAAGCAGTGGTTTCCTGACCTAAACCAAACAGTTTGCTCATCTGATGAACCCAGTGAGGTGTGTGCATGTGCGTATGCGCGTGCGTGCGAGCGTGCGTGCATGTGTGAGGGGAGAGAGGAAAGGCCAAGGCCATCTGGTGGCCCGCTGGAGGGCCTGGTCATTCCAGCAATCATGGAGGTGGCTGAATGGGACCCTCTTCTACCTGAGCTAGTTGCACCTTGGGCCTGCCTCATGCACCAAACTCCCTGTTAGCTTGTAGAAGGGGAGAACTCCCCTCAACACTGGAGGCCTCCTGGTGTGGACTCTTCCCACCCAGCCCTGTGCCTGCTAAGCCCCTGGGCCGTGGTGGCTTGTGGTGGCTGAAGGATGCTCAATGCCCATACTCTCCATTGTGGGCTGGAGCCTTGGCCCCTGGATCACCCAGAAGGGTCCTGCTAAGTTCTCTGGAGGCAGCCTCTAGGCAGAGCCCAGGGAAGGTGCCATAGTATGGGAGTGAGGAGGGGTACACCCAAGGGTGCAGCAGAGCATTATTTTAAAGAACCTAAACCCATATTGCTAAAACCATCTGCTCCCCCTACGTTGTTTCCCCCTCCCAAGTCACCAGCACAGGGAGAGGGTCGATGCTGGGTGGGGAAAAAGTCAGAGCAGGCCAGGAGCTGGCAGGAGGCTTTGGTAGGCTGGATCTGGCCTGGGGCCGCCCCCTCTTCACCACCAGTTAAGCTTTTTCATGCTGATCCAGGTGTGACAGCTTATACCTGGGTCCTTCCCTGCATCTGTGAGGTGTACCTGCCAGGCTCTGGGAGAGAGAGGGTAGGTGAGGAGGAAACTGCCATCTCCTGGGTGAGCTTTAGAGTTGCCTTAAAATATGGGGAATACGAGGAGGTTTGCCTTCATTTTGGGTTCCCAGGGCACCTGGCCTTGGGCCCTGTCTGTCCCCCTCCTTATGGGAGAGTGGAACACTTGCCCCAAGGCCAATGAAATTTCAGGTCCTGGCTCAAAGAAATGGGGGTGGGGCTGTTTTGGACCCCGAGCTCCAGTACCTTGTCTTGGGGATGGGAGGGGGGAGATGGGGAGCAGGCTGGGGATGTCCCAGGCTGGGCCTGAGAAGTGCTCCTTGACTGGAATTCAGCAGGCTTCTTTCGCAGTGTGGTCTGTGGGAAGCAGGAGCACAGAGAGCTGGTTTTCTCTGGCGCTGTTCAGCCCAGTGTTGCCAGCTCAGGAGGAGCAGGCCTGCACCGGCTCGGCAGCTTCCCCTCCCGGGCAGGGGAGACGCGGAAGAGGCCATGCTGACTCCAGCCCCTGAACGCTGGCTGCTGGGAAACCACTGAGTGCTTCCCCTCTCAGAGCACTTCCCCTGCTTCCTCCTTCGCCTCTTCTTCTCTGCGGGAGGGAGGGGCCCTGAGCAGGCCTAGCTCACACTCAAGTTGTTGATTGGCCAAAAGGCCCTGAGGTCTCATGTTTTCTGGGGCCCCTGAGCCCACAGACCTGTAGGGGTTAGTGCCCTCCTCCCTGAGGGGCACTTAGCCAGCCTCGCCCCCAGCCCCACCCCTTGCGGTGGTGTGTTTGGGGCGGGTCCATCCCGTGCTGTCAGCTCTGTTAGTCAGCTGAGCGGTGAATCCGGGGCAGGAGGGAGGGCTGGTTGACCAGCCTGCTCCCTGGCTCCCTGGCCTGGGGGCTGCAGCCGCTCTCCAGGGCCCAGGCCCAGGCCTGTAGCCAGGGAACTGGAATGGTGGGGTGAGGACAGGCAGGGTGGGGATGGAGAGGGGCCTCTGAATCAGGAGGGGCCCTCCCCTTGCCCTGTTCTCAGCCTGCTGCTGAGCAAGCCTCCCCTCCTGCAGGGATCAGCAGAGATGCTGAAACCCACGTGTGCAAGGTTGCCGGAGATTGGAGCTCGTTGCCCTGTTCAACCCCTATTAAAAAGCCCGGCTCTCCTTTCTGCCTGCCACTTCCCTTTCTAATGTTTGCTGCTGATAGTGGGGAATGCATTGTAGCACAACAAAGGGCAGAGAAGGACCAGGTGCATTTTGGGTATGGTCCCTGAGGAAACCAGACTCTGGCACCTAGCCTGAGAGGACCAAGTCCTGGGCCTACTTTCCTCATGTGTGAGCGAAAGGTGATGTCCCTGCCCTGCTTGTGGCGTGGGGCTCTTGAGTGATCCAGGTGTGAGGGTGTGTGTGTGTGTGTACGTGTACATATGTATAGATACCTAGTGAGCATGTGTTAGCACAGCAAGTACCGGGCATCTGCCAGGTGTCAGGAGATCTGGCTGGGTCTAGCCCCAGTTTTACCTGTGACTCACAGCATGACCCTCAACACATCATTTTGCTTCTCTGAGCTAATTAATCTCATCTGTGAAATGAAGGAACTGCCTGCCCTCTAGAAGGTACTGCCCCAGAGCTATGATTTCTCCACTCCCTCCATTCTCATAAGGTGGCCTGTGAGGTCATTTGTGGACTGACCTCTCCTCTTCTATCACCCCCTCCCCTCATCCTTGTTGCCCTTGCTCATCACCTGCTTAACCCTTCCACCTTCAGGCTGCCAGGCCTCCGGTGCCCTAGCTCACAGCTTCTGCTCTGCCTTTGCACAGCACCTCTTCTCCCCAAGCCCGGGTTGTTATCCCTGCTATTTGTTGTAAGAGTGTGAGCTCACTAGCGACAAGGACCAGGAGTCTGTTTTATTTGTTCCTTGCTGTGTCCCCAGCACTTAGCCCAGTGCCTGGCTGGGTGTGGATGGGCATTTGTGTCCCAGGCTGGGCAGGGGTGGCCCAGGCTGGGTGGGGGTGTCACTGGGCACCTGGGCCTGGGATAGGGTCAGAGGATGGGTTACAACTGGAGGACAGGTGAACCTGGGGCCCAGTACTGCTGGCCCTGCTGAAACACCCCTTGTGTTCTCTGCTTAGAGGAACAGGAGCGTCTTCGGCTGGAGCGGGAGCGGGAGCAGGAGCAGAAGAAGGCCAGCAGCCTGGCCAGGCTGGCCCATGCCCTGCCTGTGGAGGAACCCCGCACTGAGGCGCCACCCTTGCCTCTGTCGCCGCCAGCACCCCCGCCAGCACCCCCACCCCCACTTGCCACCCCTACCCCACTGACTGTCATTCCTATTCCAGTAATGACCAACTCCCCTCAGCCTCTGCCCCCACCGCCACCACTGCCCCCCACAGCTCAACCTCTGCCCCTGGCACCTCGACAGCCGGCCCTGGTTAGCACCCCTGGACTCAGCATTAAGGAGTCTGCCCCACTTCCTACCAGGCCACAGGTGCCCACTCCTGCTCCCCTACTGCCAGACTCCAAGACCACCGTTCCGCCCACTGGCAGCCCCAAGCCTTTGCAGCCCCTCCCCACACCCATCCTGACTATAGCACCACACCCTGGAGTCCAGCCCCAGCTGGCCTCCCAGCAGCCACCCCCACCCACTCTTGGGACCCTGAAGTTGGCACCAGCTGAAGAAGTCAAATCCAACGAACAGAAGAAGAGGCCTGGGGGGTGAGTGAGGTGTGGCAGAGTTGGGGCTGGTGGGATGAGGAGCCCATAGCACCACACCCTGGAGCCCACCCCCTGGACTGTGTGTGCAAGAGAAAGTACCCTCCCACACTTGTCTGCGAGACCCAGCAGTGCCCTACCACCCCAACCTAGAAGCGCTCTCCTGTATTTGGATATATTCTCACTGTGCTTTGCCCATCCATCCCCACCCTGGGGAGTGGGGAATAGCCACTGCCCTCTGTTCTCAGGATTCAGTGTTCTTTGACCCCCTCCAAGGTTAGGGCTGATGGCATTTCAAGCCCTTTGGACAGGGTATTGGACTATAGGCCTCTTGGGTGAGGGCTGGAGTCAACTGGCTGTTTCTCAGAATCCATGGAGCCCTTTCCAGGTGCACGGGTGGGATGGAGGTAAAGGGTTTGTGAATTTGTAGTCTACATGTGCCCTCCAGGGGCTGTACGCACCATGACACGGGGCAAACAGCTCCCACTGCTGCTTTCCTAGAATAACGTCAGAGACAAAAAGCTTGTGGCATTTCAGGAGTGGGGAGCAGGGAGTGGGAAGACTGCCTAATTGGGTCCTCCTCTCTGAGTCTCCTGTCTGGGTTTCAGGATCGGAACCAGAGAAGTCCACAACAAACTGGAGAAGAACAGGTGTGTGTGCCTGCCCGCCCTGCCAGCTACTGGGAAGGTCCCAATCGTGGTCCCCAAGCTCTCCTTGGCCTTTCCCTCCCGCCTCTAACCCCCTGGCGCCGGCTGACCGGCGCTGCTCCCTCTCGCAGGAGGGCCCATCTGAAGGAATGCTTTGAAACCCTGAAGCGCAACATCCCTAACGTCGACGACAAGAAGACGTCGAATCTGAGCGTGTTGCGGACGGCGCTGCGGTACATCCAGGTATGGGGGAGGGAAGCACTGCCTAGAGGAGGG